TTATACTTAACAAGCCTGTTTGTATCGTTAAAGGATACATCTGTGCCATTTGGAACATTAATATTACTATCAATCTCTTTGTAATCTTCTGACTGACGAATAGTAGCTAAACCAAGCTCAATTTGATTTGCATTAATTTGGGGTTCTCGCTTCAGTGAAAGGGTAGTAGCAACTCTGTTTTTGACACTCTGAATTTCGGTGAAATCGTTAATTTGGGGTTCTCGCTTCAGTGAAAGGGTAGTAGCAACTCTGTTTTTGACACTCTGATTTTCGGTGAAATCGAACTTATCAAATACAAGTTCGTGCATGGAAGTAAAAAGGGGGAGAGGCGGCAGTGGGGGGAGGCGGCGGTGGCAGAGCCTATAGTGAGAGAGAAGGGGGAGAGAGAGCAGCGAAGACGGGGAATATTTAGAGATTAAACGAGGACCGTCGGATCGCTACTAACAATGAGATTGGTTGGTAGTAACATTGGTTGTAACATCACTTGGTTGTGACAATATCTTGTTCCTTTTATTAATATTATATTATATTTAAGAAAACTGAATTTGAAAAGCTAATCCACGTGAATGCAAATTGCTTTACCTTATTACTGATTTGCTTTTCTTATTACTTTTTGAAAAGGTAACGTCTTTTTTCATTTTAGTTATATTAGATATCTAATTGATTTAGTTTTTAATTCTAACCAAACCTATAATACTTATTTAATTGTTTTAAATTTTAAATCTTAACCATAACAAACAAAATTAATCATTATTATTTAATATGAAATTAAATGCATTAAATGTAATGATATGCATTGGAGCTTAGGAAGATACTATATGATATAATATTGTGTGTAACAAAATATCTAAAAATACCTAACCACTTGTATCTTCAAGCTCTATCTTCAATTTGAGATTTCTTGTAAACCATTTGTCATCATTAAAATATAAATTCCATAATGCTTAAGAGATCTTCAAGAATGAGAAGAAGCATAGAGGACATAGACACTATAGATTTATCAGGGTTAATTTAGTCTAAAGTTTCGCGGTTTAGTTTCTTCCTCCCCGAGAAAGGAAGAATACCAACAAATCTGTGGTATTTTTTGGGTAGTATACGTCTCCGCTTTTACGCAGCAGGTTGAAATCCAGGAATACAACTTTCTTGGGATAATTTTCATTTTTTGGCTACCAAATATTGAATTCTAATTTACCCAAATTCACTTTTCCAGGTTTTTACAAATACTCCTCCTACCAAACATCACTTAAGTGAAAAAAATTTACTCTATCATCCAATGACGTGTTACTCCATTAATAAATTTAACATCTTATGAATTGTTAAGCTTCTTGAATAATAGTGTATAGTTTTTTACATTGATGGTGCATCAAAATTAAATTATACTTCTATTACCTTCTAAGCAATCCTCTTAGCTAATTACTAAATAAAATAAATAAATTCCAAGACATAAATATAAACACTTTTCATTAAGTACTTTTTAAATTATTGTATATAAGGAAAGTTACTGGGAGGATATAACATTTCTCTTATACAATAGGCAAAAAAATTTGTACTGTGACTGTACTTATGGATTGGTGCAGTCACACACTTTACATCATGTCTAACCGATAAAACATAGTTATAATATTAAAGTTATTTTTTTCTCTCTTTAGAAAGTTAACTATGTCTTTATGGTAAGATATAGTTATAATATTAAAGTTATTTTCTCTCTCTCCTACGTCAGCCGATAAATCTCTGAAAAGTTAAAGAGGAGAGAGAAAAAAAATAGCTTTAATATTGTAACTATGCCTTACCGGTAAGACATAGTTAAATTTCTGAAAAGAGAAAAAAAACTTGAATATTATAACTATGTCTTACTAGTAAGACATAGTTATAATTTTTTGACCGCACCAACTCTTACATGCAGTCAGTATACATTCGCTTTATCCATATATATATATATATATGGGCTTATCATTTCTCAAGCTGCCGGAGATAACTTTATCTCCGGTTACTAAATCATAACCGTACAAAGATGGATCAATGGTGATAAAAGAAGAGAGAGAAAAAGGAAATCATAACCATTCAAAGGTGAATCAATAAATATAAGAAAATTAATAATCAAAACGACGTAATTTTGATGTGGCCGGAGATAAACTTATCTCAAGCAGCTTGAGAAATGTTTTTCCATATATATATATATATATATATATATATATATATATATATATATATATATATATATATATATATATAGAGATATTTATCATCTTAAAGGACATAAATTTATGTCATTTTAATTAAAATTACCGTGTGTTCATGCATGTTTAGTAGCTTTTTATACTCCCTCTCGTCCACAAAATTAGGAGCGCGCGCGCGCGCGCGCGCGCGCGCGCGCGCGCGCGCGCGCGCGCGCGCGCGCGCGCGCGCGCGCGCGCGCGCGCGCGCGCGCGCGCGCGCGCGCGCGCGCGCGCGCGCGCGCGCGCGCGCGCGCGCGCGCGCGCGCGCGCGCGCGCGCGCGCGCGGAGGAAATGAGAATATTGTGGATTTAAGAAAAGGTAAAAAACCATCAAAACATAATAATTACACTTAAAAAGATGGGATAAGTTATTCTACCTACCATTTTTTCTGCCTATCTTTGTCTATCACTCTAAAATATCATTAGATCAGAATCTTAACTAACATTTATCTTTCTCTCTCTTGTTGAGATTCTGATCTAACGGTGTTGGAGGATGGTAGGCAAAAGTAGGCAGAAAAAATGGTAGGTAGAATAACCTACCCCTAAAAACATATCAAATTTATACTATTTAAATTCAAATTGCAACCATGCATCTATATAAGCCTTAATTTAGGAACTTTGATATCGTTCGTTCGTTCTTTCTTTCTTTTGAAATTTTAACTTTAGTACGTCATTTGATTTAATTTCATTATGATTTTATATTTTATGACGCTGTTATTTTTATTAAGATTTTGTATTTGACTAAGACTTCACTACTATTGGGTTACAAATATCTCTCTCTTTTTTTGGTATCCTATTTGGGGACAAAACCCTCAAACAGGGTAAACAACAGAAATAAACCGAGTTCTACCGAAACCATCTAAATCAGCTAAATACAACAAGTAAATGCCAGGGGGCGGAGACAAATATCCCTTTAATTGCATGTGAAATCTTTAAAAACATGAAATAAGTTTATTTGAATTATTATTATTATATTTAGAAATCAAACTTTAATTTTGGAACCCATTATAAAAATAGGATTTAAATTGATTCATAAATCAAATCAGTTTATTTCTTAGTATTTTTATTTAGATTTATTTTATTTTAGCTAGTTTTATTTAGGGATATCAATTCAGGCTGGCCCGATCCAATCGAACTAGGTTCGTGTGGGCTTGGCCGAATGCAAGCCAGCATTCAGGGGACCAAATGTAAGTTGGCCCATAGTAGGGCCTGGTAAAGTTTTATGACAAATTATTGGCTTAACTTAACTCTGTGTAAGTTATATGGGCTTGTTCAATGACGTAAATTTCCTTAACTAATTAGTATAATTATAATTTTAAAAATATTAAATATTAAATAATTTAATCAATTAAATTGTGTTAAAATACTTAAATTGATTTGCATTTAAAAGGGATAGGTTATTTTACCTACCATTTTTTCTGCCTACCTTTGCCTACCACCCTTCAACACTATTAGATCAGAATCTCAACTATATTTTTCATTTCTCTTTCCTATTGAGATTATAATCTAACGGTATTGAAGAATGGTAGAGAAAGGTAGACAAAAAAGATGATAGGTAGAATAACCTATCTCTTTTTCTATTAACTTTTATCCATTCATATGTATTTGCATCTTCTTATTTTATCACGATTCTTCAAGTATTTGATTATGTCCTAGCACACTCTTAATAAATAGTGTCACCTTTTTTTAATGGGGAAATGTTATTCTACCCAGTGGCAGACACAGGATATTTTCTTTATGTTTGCACAATTTTTTTATTTTTTATTTTAAAGACCATGATCATGATTCAATTTTTGCTTCCACTTCAAAAGTAAAGCTTTGGTGAATCAACCTAAGTTTTAAGGAAATAATAGATAATGATAATTAAAAATAAATAAACACCACAAAAAGACATTTGTAAAATATAATATAATTGTAAGAGTTAATCAATCAAAAACCTACCTTTGTCGATGTCTATTTGATCCAAAATTGGCCACTTTTGTTTCACAAAAAAAACGTGAAAAATCCCGTGAGATTCTCCTCCACTTGATGAAGATTGAATTTCAGGAATGTTATGTTTATTAAGTTTTGGAGCTAATAAGGTTTTTTTTCTTTCTTTTTTTGAATACAGAGCTAATAAGGTTTATATAAAAAAAAAAAGAGACAAAGCAATGAGTTAGGGTTTAAGCTTTAAGCTTTTAATTGTAGGGGTTGTTTGGGTTGAATATATTTTTACCTTTTTTCTTTAATCTTCCTATTTTTTTTTTTTTTTTACTTGACTTGAAGCACTCATCTCATGTGAAAAAAAAAATTTCTCCAACTTTGTGTCTGAAGTGTAGACACTAGCACTAACGTGCCTCCGCCGTTGATTCTACCTACTATCTTTTCTGCCTATCTTTACCTACCATCATTCAATACCGTTAGAATATAATCTCAAATAGGAGATCCAAATGAAAAATGTACTTGAGATTCGAAAATTGTAATCCCCTTTCACATTTATAAAAAGTGCAAAGTAATGATTGAATGTCTATGTCAAGAAAATATCTTTTCAACTCAAATTCTTATTCATAACAATTAAATTATAACAGTTATACCCCTTTACGAGCAAAGCTAAACATTGGTCTTTAAAGGAACAAAAAAGATGACGAAAAGTAAAATTAATCCCTACCTATGAAACAAGAGATTAAGCCAAGCAGAGAAAAGTTATTTATTTCTCTTTCTACACAATCTATAAGTCTAGGGCCTTGCATCCATGTGTTCCATATACCCATTATTTGGCTTCTATGAATTTGGTATGAATAGGAATTTAGGAGAATGGTGGGTTATCGAAGGTGAAGTTTTGACCGTCCAATTGAAACTGGTCAAATGGAAACTCTAAGTCAACGGTTGGAGAGTTTGCGGCTGAAGTAGCAGCTATGATCATGTCATTGATCTCAGAACCAGAACTTAACAAATTTGAGTACCCCACAAAGCTGTTCCCGCCACTTGGAGACACCGAAAAGTAGCTTGTTCTAGATGTGGCAGGGGACACATATGAAGGATAGATGAAGTTTTCTGCAGTGTTATTTTCAATCATTGGCGAAGGGAAAACTTTGTCTTCAGTTTTTATATTTGTAGTTGAAGGGAAATGCAAAGTTGAAGTAACTTGGTCAGGAGCATGATGTAGATTCTCTGTTAGGATTTTCAGGCCTTCACGGAGGTTCAAAACTAGATGATCACTTGAATGCTGCTCAAGAATTTGCTGGTCATTTTGATGCTGTGGAACTTTGCTCAAATTTGATTCTTGGTTTTCTTGTGGTCCTGATGGAGGAACCACATAGGAGGACATTGTGCAGTTGTGCTTTTCCCTGTAAGTGATTTCGAAGATATTTGGGTCTTCATCTGATCTTTGCACTTGCTTTGTGGCCATGCAGCCTTGAACATTTCTGTGGGTGCATCTGTAATAGCCTCTGCATATATAAAGCAAAAGGACATTTAATTCAACCCCATAAGACATAATAACAATTGTTGACAAAATTTAAAATATAGCATTGGTAAAGGATTAATTTTGGTAATACCTTGGATACTTGGCTCCAAGAATGTCTTTCTGGCCATATTTTCTCCAACAATATCCATCATCAAGTGACCCTTCCACTTCCATCCCTGGATTAACTCGGATATGTTTTGTCCATCTTGGCATGACCTTCCTGAGATTTAGAAAGGAATTCATGATTTTAGAGTTACATTACATGTAAGGTTTTAAATTACTTTATCATAAAATTCTTTCATATAATAATATGAAAGACTAACTATCACTAAAGGGTCAAAAACTTAAATTGCCTAAATGTTTTTTTTTTTTTTTTTTATATATCTAACATTATATAGACAAGTTTAAGCATAACTTGACTTCAAATACCTCTTTCTAGTGGCACTCTGCTCCAGATCTCTGTCAGAGTCTTCACTGCGAGGACTTGCGCTCAATGGTGGTGACTGTGACATTCTCATTGCAACCCTTGTGGGCATTTGTGAAGGCTCACCCACTTGCACCCCATTCCAGTTCACCATTGCAAGTGCCTTTTCAAATGCAGCTATGATCTTCTCGTTCAGAAGCTCACGGCTTTGTGGGGAGGTAGAAGGCACTTGGAGAGAGATTTGGAGCTGCGTTGCCAGCTCCATGCCTTGTCGTAGCTCATGAACGAGGTTATTGTGATCCCAATCTCCCATGTTTTTGTCTTTGTAGGCACCAGACTAATCAAAGTTATAGCTAGCTGACTTGTGCTATATGTCAATGATTGGTTCAGAATCTCAGTTATGGAAAGAGCATGAGAGATTGCAAAAAGAACAATCTTATGGCATCAGAATTAATCAGAGGAACATGCCAAGGAATAAGGTAAGGCCTAAATGGGACATGAACAAAAGAAAGAAGTGAAGATGGTTACAACATGGGATTGCTAAAATGTGACTTGCTTTATGAGATGAGGTCTGTTAAATGGACACAGCATGGGAAAGAGAATATATCTTGAGTTTTTGTGGGTGGTTTCGAAATTAGAAAGTTGTCAGAGATGAAAATACTTAGGAGTGAGGTTGGGTATGGAGTAAGGGATTTAATGGAATGAAGAAAAAGTGTGGGAAAACAAAAGAACAAATGAAAGTTTGACCGAGAAAGTGGCCGAGTGGATTTTCTTTACTAGGACTAGTCTTTGGTCAAGGAATCGCAAGTTCAAAGTATGAGGATGGGAAACCAAATTGCTGACCACTTCTCCCTTCAAAAGCTTCTTTTTGTTGACGGCCCTTTGATTGGAGAAATTATTAGATGTTAGTGATGTGACTTGTGAGAGTATGACACACAGCCTTGTAGAAGCCAAATATAACCAAGAGATAATTATTGTTTTATCTATTAGTAGCATTTGTAATTATAAGAAAAGGAATTAAAAAAATAGGACAATTTTTTTTCTTTTGAATAAATCACATGTATTATTCGCTTAAGGCAATCCTGTTTGAACAGGAAACATTCACATCATAATCGAGTTAGCTCTTTAAATATATATATATATGTGAGGTAGGATCTTTTGACACCGATGTCAAATTTGAAATTTGACACCTCATCTAATAGTCGTTAGATCAAAAAAGATCAACGATTCTGATTTGTAAGCATGTGACACCATTGATTTTTTTTATCTAACGACTATCAGATGAGGTGTCAAATGATCCTACCTACCTATATATATATATATATATATATATATATATATATATATATATTTGCATTCATAAGAATTTAAAACCAAAACCTTATCTTAAGTATCTTTAGCATAGGACAAAAACTTTGATTTGTAATCTATTATAAAATAGCATGTGATGAAATCTAAATTGTTGAGAGTATTAATATAAAAGTATATATATTGCGTCGATGATATTTGATAAGGATTTATATCCTCTTATATCACATTACCACCATATTGACAACAATAATTAAACATTTAAACAATCTACATTTTGCTATGAGAGATACGGATCCGTTCGATTTGATCCCATTAAAATATGAAAAAAATATTTATCTTTTTAAATGACACAAGTTATATTATTTCACTTTTACGGTGAGATAAGACTCACACCTTTTATTTTTTATTTTTTATTTTTTGTCAACTCTCTCCACTTTTATCTATCTATTTCTCTCTCTTAAAATGACACAATTTTACCTCCTTTAAATATGATATACACTTTACCCTTAGGTGATGTTTGGTTGGGAGCTTTTCAACAGATATCTATCTTTCTCAAGTATGGCTTTTAAAAACACCATGTTTGTTTCAACGTTTTTCACCAAAAACACATCTATTCAGTTTGTCTGGATTTATAAGAAACATAGATATTCGCACTGTTTAGAAACCCAATTTGAAGGTGGGATTTTTCGGAAAACCGATTATCTGACTTTTAATGCACTGTTGATTCCATAAAGGTACCTAATTTTTCCAGTAAAGTTTTTTCCCACCAAACAACTTTTTTTTACATTTTTCTACCTATCTCACTTTATCTATCTTTCCAATCATTTCTCTATCTATCTCATTTTCCTGTTATTTCAAAAAAAATTCATCAATCAAACACCCTCTTAAAATATTATCTGAAAGTCACAGCAAGAATCACTCACTTCTCGTTTACTTGGCTGCAGTGGGAAAAAAAAAAAAGAAGGGGTGCAGAAACAGAGGGAGTTAAGAGAAAAATAATAATAATAAAGTCTTACTGAAGGCCAACACGCGGGGGAAAAAATGAAAAATCTTCGAACCATGTTCCGCGTCGTAACTGCTTCTGCTGCGGTGCTTCCGATGTGGGAAACGTTTGTGACAGGATTGTGACGTTGGCCTCCTACGTGTCTATTCTCACGTCAACACTCTACGTTCCAACCTCAATCTTAGCTGTTAACTCATTTATTTATTTACGAAAGCAATTATTATTGCCGTAAAGTGAGCCGGTGGCAACGTACTATTATTGACAAATACTTTATGTTTAATTTTGTTCTATCATTTAAATAAATAATTATTAATTAATAGTTTATGTTTCTTTATGGTTACAAGATAAAGCATCAATAAATTAAAAAAAATACTACTCTTATTTTACATGAAATAATTATTTATGTTCTTTCATTTCGAAAATCAAATTCTCTTTTTTTTTTATTGATGGATACCACTTGGATTTTCTCTATACACGAAAGAGTAATATTCCTCATAAATTAATAATTGTATTTTTATTATTTTGATAAATGTCAATTTCATTGAATAAAAGACATTTCTTTATAATTATAGTTTATTAATATTATTTGAAAAATTAATATAAGTATTTTAAATAACACTAAAACAAGTAACAAAGTAGTATGAAAATGAAAAATTTCCTATTAAGGGAACTAATGATCAAGGGAGAACAATTGATTTGACAAATTATTAAACATGTGATGTTTTCGGCACTTCAAATTACAGCTTAAAAAGAAGTAACATGGAAACTGCCAGTGCCAACACAACGTTGGGTCAGCTACTGTATATATGTACCTGGCCATAAATAACGCGAGTTTCACGTTGGGTTCACTATTTATTTTTTTCCCATTAAACCCACGAGGTATTATACTCAACCACATCTAATTATGAGGTTATCTTGTTTTGGAATAGAACCTAAAGCTAGCTCCACATCAAAAAGAGAATGTATCAAATTGGAGGTAGTTTTTGTTGGCGCAATAGTGTTATGAATCATCATCGTTCTTTACAATACAAAATATATCTCTTGTGGCATAGATTCATGAAAATTCCCTTTTGTATTGGTGTCATTCTCGTCTTGGCATGCACGAAATTTTCTCCTCCAAAATTTGACCTCCTCCGCAGCACAGCATAAACAAACCTTTTTGCTGAAGATGCACGAACAAGTATCTGATATGGCCTCTGAAGGATGGTAGAGTCTTTTAGACTATTCTCAAGAGAGAAGTGGATGAGTGTGTGGGTACTTTGAGATTTCAAATCTAAAATCTCACAGCAACTGTTCTAGAGGATGATGATTTAAGTTAAATCTTTTATATGACCCCAATAAACCCTAGCTCTAAGTCTCTTGGGCTCTAAGCTTCTTAAGCTCTTCTTGTATATTAAGCGCAATTGGACTTTAATAAAAGAGTATAAACACAACAACTTTTCTAGACAGCCCTGACCATTATGGACCCCTATTGCACGGTACATGATTCTCATTCATAACAACTTATACTGTTTTAAAACCTTAATTTTGTTAACGCCCTAATGGAACTATGATAATAGTATTAGAAAACGTTTATAAAAGAAAAGGTATTATAAAACAAAAACCACTCAAGTTGAAACTTATAGTATTTCCAACACTTCTGCCGCACCATTTAGAATTCAACTTGATCTGTCCACTGAGCAGATTCTATGTAAAATATTATTAAGAAAGTACCTCTAACAAGTCAACTTATGGTAACAGACAACTTTCACGAAAATTTAAATCCAAATAACGACACCATATCATATTAAACTCACTAATCAAATTAAGCATCCACCCTGAAGATATCGTTTTTTTTTTCTTCTTCTATATAAAGTTCTTCGTTATGAGCACTACGTATAATTTCGATTTTATCTTGGTACACCAATTATACCTAGCATTTCTAATCAATAGGAGTGTAAAGAACTTTGGGATACACCACCCAAAACCCAAAAGCTAGCTCTAAGGCCCCAAAAGCTATCTCTAGGGGTGAGAGTGCCCAAGACCTTATAAACTCCACAAGTAAAGAACCTTGGGATACACCACCCTAAAAGCTAGCTCAAAGGGTGAGAGTGCTGAAGGCCTTATAAACTCCACATTAATTGCACATACAACTACGAGTGTTAACGAGCCGAGCCGAGCTTTGGTCTTAACGGGTCGAGCCTGTTGTAACACCCTGTATATATCCGGTAATGTTATCATAATATCGTATTAAGCAGCGCTTAATTAAAAATGCGGAATTACTTTTTTTTTTCAATTATGATATCATTAACATTACCAACTTGCTTATTATTCAATTAATAAAACATCGCCGGTATGTAATTGCAATAAAACAGCTATCTGAAATACCTCATATCTTAAATAAGATAAGTATGGCTCTAGTCACGGAACTACAACAACGTAGACCGGATCATCTAATAGTTTATACAACTCAACTCAAAGTACTAACAACAAAGTGTCATGGACAATTTTCATGCTCACCCAAATAAGGCAACAAAGCCCAACACCATTCTCAACATAAACAACATCTAATACAGTCATGCTAGCATAAAGCAGTAATAACATAAATCAGTTAAGCTCCGTCCTCCTGCCGCATGAGGCATCAGTCCCCATACTACCTGATCCTGAAATAAGCATTTCCCAAACGTGGGGAGAGATCTCTAAACAAGAAACCTCATTAAGACAAGGGATCCTCAAGGATCTTCCACCCCAAGCTCACTTACATGTGCAATATAAGTTCTAAAAGCAGTTTATCAATATCATTTTGAAAACAGTGCAATACAGCAGATAATCATGTCATGTGTGTCAATATTATTCTACTGGCCAGAGAAATACAGGATCTATATACGCCAAATACCCACACTAGTGCAAGACGCCACTTGCATCCACCCCGGATCACCGTTTCGTATGACGCCACATACTCAGGCTTACCGTCAAGATGGAACAACACATGCATATTAAAAGCCATTACACATAAAGCT